CTTTGGAGATCAGTTTATAATTTAAATGCTGTTACCCGAGGACTAGCGCAAGAGCCATTTAAGGAAATTCCACCCCTGAGACGTGATAGTAAAATCTTTGCGGTCAGGTTGAAATAAATTGTAGTACTACAACAGGCTGACATGCTGTAATTCAAAAACCGAAGCAATTTCATCAGTTACGAATCCTGAATCTTGAGGATAGGGCTCCGGTGTAAGTTTATTAAATCCGATCAGTGTGCTGCGCTTCTCTGCTTGTTTCTACTTCATATAAGAAGCTAGATAAGCTTTTAAGATGTATCATGGTCTTGGGTGAAACGAAGTAGTCTGCTTGGTTAAATGACCTTCACTCGGGTAACTGATGTTGATCAATACACGCTTCGTATTTTAGGTCATCCCGTTCGCAAAGCTGCATTGCTGTTGAATATTGTGGGACAGTTAAGTAATTGGTAGGTTTAGAATTAATGTGTTTTCTCTCCAACCGGTAGTTATTCCTATTCGGTGTTGCTTATCTGTTTCAGATATACAAATAACCCCGTTATTAATCCTTGTGGCCCGATATGATGTTGATCTAGATGTGGTCAACTGTATTAGTCAATTTTGAAGTTCTTCTGGTATCGGTTTCACCACTCAATGCGTACCTTAGCATATTGAACAATCAAGGAATGAACCTCATTTTCACAAAGATCTACCATGCGACAATGAAGCTGGTAGCCTTATTCCTCATACATAGAAGGCTCACTAGGATTAGTCTATTGCTGAACCGAAGTTGGGAGACGCTATCGGCATTCGAATATGAAAATTTGATTTCCTTAATTCTACGGCAGCTAAACATTTCGTTTTTTATATGGTTTTCGCTGCAGCAGCAATTAAGCGGTGCAAGATTGTCGTTGACGCACTTTGGTTCACAAGTGGCAAGTGTACTGAAAGAGCTTCAGTATCTACCGAATTTTTATTAGTATGCATCATGAGGTTTGATTTACTCGTTTCCATAACTGAACAGTGGACCTCTGTACCTGTGGAATTCTTTTCTTCCCTTGTTCATCGGGACTTACGTGATTGGTCACTTATTCTCGGGGTTTACGCTTTCAGTTATCATTCGTGAACAGTAGGTCCCCAGTGCTAAGAAATTTACTGATTCTGTGATTCATCACATGATAGTGCATAATAAGAAAAGGATTCTAAGGAGAATATAAGAGAATGTTCCAAGGTACTCTAACTAAATGGATCATAATTGGCGACCTGGCAATGGTTTGTGACGGGTTCCGTATTAGCAGATAAATAATGGTGAATTATGGAATGAAATAAATTATGACCAAACAAAACAACGAACAATGAAATACGCGTTATCTGCTACCAGGGATCAATTTGTTTTCAAGATGAGTAGTTTTGTATTAGATTCGGCTGTTTGAAGCAAGAAAACAGAAGAGTGAAGGTAATATTTATTACACCACCAACACGATGTACCCCCCGCAATCATAATGACTACCTCGCAGTGGGAATGATGGGACATTCATTCAAAACAACTTGTTGATTCAGCGCCTGAATAAGGGGGAATAAAAACAGTAAGAAAGAGTTTCACAAATCCGTTGTTCTCTTGCCGAAAGATTTGAATGCTACCGTTTTGTCAAGTTTTCAGGGTCCAGTGGTAAAGGTGGCTCAACGCTTGTGATCAGATCTCGTGAGTAAATGAAAGTAGAGGGGATACTACATCAGCAGACTCCGCTGCAAAATCTGTAGTAGTAGAACAGTAACAAAGAGACAGTCACCCGGTGATGGGCAAGTAGTTGAAGATTGGATGTTAGGGATAGATCGGCGACAGAGCCTAAGATGCCAGAGAAGTCCCAGTCAGCTACAATATATTTTAGTGAGACCCATTCGAGCTTTTTAAAGAGTGAGAAGTTGAGAGGGTGTGTGAACCTTTTCACGCGACGTCAGTTAGATAATACGGGGATCAAGATGTGGGAAAGATTGCAGGCTGTGTAGAACTGCAGATTGAAATCACAGGAATTGTGTTTGTGGGATACAGATACTTCCAAAGCGATTCGAATTTTGGCGCCGCAATCTGCCATGCCACTGGTCTGAATTGATTGAGGAAGAAATAGGTAGGAAATCAGTCATCAGTGACAATGATAGAGGAAGCACGGAAGGTGTAAGAAAGATGTCAACGTAGGGTGCCATCATCGGTGAAAGCATGGGTAAAGCGAAGTTTGGGATAAAACCTGGTTGATAAGTAGAAAGAAGAGGGTAGAAGGTAGCACTGAATTTTGTGGAGCATTACAGCTTGAAATTTTTTTATTGCATCTTTTGCAACAGATGGGGTAAACACTTGCTGTTTTGTCATGAAAACCCGCAACATAAATCCCAGGACTTCATCTATGCAAGCTGCAACTGAACGGTCATAAAGGGAAAGTTCATATCCAAGTGGTGGAACACCGGGGACGTCCAAAATTGGGTGGTTTTGCAGTCGTTTTGACCGGTGTGCTTTGGACCCCACGGTCCAAGACTCGAGCCCAGCCAACACCACCCATCTTTGGTGATAGACAGCTTCGCTGCCGTCCAGTTCAATACCACGCCTAACCTAGCGAGGCCTAATATGGTTCACCACTCCAAGTCCTAGGACTTAGGTTGCAATAGGCCTTCGTGATTATGGGGTCCACCCCGTCTCCTATTCATCAAACAGGTGTATGCAATAAAAAAGAACCCGTTAGTTTAAACCTAATCGGACTCCCTGGAACTGTTGAGGGAGATCATAGGCAACTCGCTGTGGTGGTCAGTAGTGGAGGACCATATGCGTGGCTTGTATGCCTACGGGTCGCTAGTGGATCTGTGGCAACGGAGGCCAAATTACCGGTCGTTGAGGAGTTCGCGGCGTTGCAGATGATAGCGAAGTTGTTCTGTAGTCATTAGTTACATGATCGTGGAGAGAGAAAGGGTATGCGAGGGATTTGGGATCGTAATTGGTAGTTCATTGGATGCACCTCGCTTAGATCTAGGAAAGAAGTTTAGTTTTCTAACACTTCGGAACCACACGGAGTGAAAGAATTGGGGGAAAGGAAAGATATTAAAAAGCTGTAGTTAACAGGTCGGTCTGGTCTGGTCGTTAGAAGTACTTTTTAAACGCAGGTCTACATGAATATTCCTGGTTGTGGTGTGTTTTAGGGTTGGGTGTAATGTGAGATCATGATGGGTAGTGGGGAAGGGAAAAGTCGTGGACGGAGCTATGGTAGAATTTCAAACGGAAATGGTGTCGGATAGCTCAGCCTTTTAGGAGGTATCTAGAAACAGATCACCAGAAACGTTATTAACTCAGAAAGGACGAAAGCCAAAAAATATGGAATTCTCTTCGTTCAGAATGATCAGCTATCTGATTTACACCTGCCCAGTTTCTTTGCCTCACAACGAGCAAGTTTGTCTCGCTCTATCTGTTTGCCGAACATTTTCCGGGTATGCACATAGCCACAATGAGAGGGATTTAGACACAAACGCCAAACGTTGAAGGGCTTTCTTTTTTTCACCGCTTGCACCGGAACAAACATTCGTAAACCAGTTAAGAGAACACAATTTGTCGAGCTTAGGAAAGTAAGGAATCAATAGGTACATGATCTAGAGAACGGTTTCCACGATATTCAAGGTTGAAGTGGGCAGGTTGGGTGAAAAGAACTATTGGTAAACTTGTAGCGCCAGAATTTGTAGTTGGAGGTAAGTGTTGAAGTTGAATCTAATAAGAGTCGGTGAGGGGAAATTCGAGGAAAGTGAACTATAGGGCAATAACAACTCAACAGTTTGGGCGCTCAACTGTGTACGATCTGGGACACTAGTGGGATAAGCGAACAACTGCAACAGGTTGTTTACAATAGCAAACGCTTCCGCCTTGCGGCTGTCACGGAGCGTGCTAACCAACTGCTATTGCAAATTTTGAATTTACCCGGGATGGTGATCTGGGATTTGCAGCGTGATTGGAAAATAATTCAAGTGCACAGTGAGGTAAAATCAGCCACAAAGTAATCCTAGCTGTTGGTAAAGCTATGAAGAATGCCATCGTAGTGGGTTTAAGGATGGTATACAAAGTTTCCATCATGAAGGTTGAAATTCACGCCATCAAGATTAGATAGAGGAGTGGCTGGAGCTGAGTGGTGATCAAACGCACATGAATAGAAGGAACGAATAGTGTGTAGTCAGGAAACAAATGAGTATGATCTTTTGAAGATAATTAATTTTCGGAAAAGAAAAAATAAGCGGTGAGATGGGTTGCAGGTAGTGATGCACAAAATCGATGTTGCGATTACGATNCGATCGCGACTGTTGGTAGAAGCATCACCATCATCATCGTACAGCGAAATACAGGTAAGCGAACTTGACAGAGCGCTGCCAATGCATATGCATTGGGGTTTGATGGACGGGTACTGCTAGGGTGTCCAGCCACTAAACAGGAGAACGCTTAGGGTTCTCAACCAAAGCCTTTAGTTCTGACAAGAAGTTAGCCGTAAGGCAGCAGGTGATGCGAAGTGGAGGCCCATTTACTTGAATCAGTTACTCCCCCACCATTTTTTACCAACTGAAACGCAAATCCTAGTCAACCCCCCAACCTGGAGGACCACGGGACTAGACTCCATCCAACCTCTACCTTTCGACCTTCCAGGCGTTAGGTCTTCGGCATGACCAAAGCCATCCTGTGTAGGTCGTTGGGTCGGAGAGGTGCACAAGCCATCACACCACGTCAAGGTGCAGTCTCGTTATGGTGGCAAACAATTTGACAGCGCTTGCAAGTATGAGCCTGATATGTGATGTATACTACAAATACATGCTGAGTTGTTTTTGAGAAATCGGCAACCTTAGTCCTAGACTTGTCTTAGCGAACCAATTGAGGCCCTATAGGAAAAGCGTGATATTACACCGGTAAAAACGGACCTACCTACCACGCCCTGGTTGTGTACTATGGAAAGAAATCAATTTACGATGAAATTATTTTTCAGTGTTACTATTCCTTGTGATGACCATGATCTTATTTGCAAATCGTTTCTTCGTTGCTGGGTCTCATTACGATGAGCCCTGGAACGAAGTTACCGGTTCATGCAATTAGCGGTTCTGAAGGAGTGCATCTGTAATTCGTCGCTCAATCGTTTTTACTTTCTAGCCATTTCGGGTTATCGCCTCACTAACTTGGGGTATGATTATCTGGCTTTGCATCAGCTGTTCAAGTCCGGCCAATTGGTCGATCTTCGATCAATGATTGGTACTGGGAAGGAATCAGATGTATATCTTGGAATCGCCGGAGAGACTGCTGGGCTCCCAAGCGATACTGAAGATTCGGATACTCCTGATAACGCTACTCGGTTGATCGACCCAGGTACACCGGTCGTTGTTAAATTTCATCGACTCGGCCGAACTTCGTTCAGAAAGGTCAAAGAAAAGCGTGAATATCATCAACATCGCAATACCTGCTCCTGGTTATACCTTGATCGCCTAGCCTCCCAACGCGAGTTCTCCATGATGAAGGTAACCGCTTCTAGCAAAAGCCATTATGAACTTTTTTGCAGGCTCTGTACGATCATGGACTCCCGGTTCCAACACCGCTGGCACACAACCGAAATGCAGTGGTAATGTCATATGTATCTGATTCCCTTCCCATGGCACGTGTTATGCCCAGCGTTTTACGGGCTGGTAACGGTGCGGTGGCAAAACACTTGTACATGCAAGCTCGAGATGTGTTACATAAAATTAGCTCCATTGGATTGATTCATGGGGACTTCAACGAATTTAACTTGATGGTTGTTGGTCTTAACCATTTGGATATGGATGACGTTAACCCAGAAAACTTGCAGCATCTGAAGCTTGTCCTCATTGACTTTCCTCAAATGATCAGTCGAGATCATGAAACAGCTGAGAGGTGAGTTTTTTGTCTGTCCTGTTCGAGTTTCTTGCGAGTGCTATCGTTTGTCACATTGTTTTTGGTCTTTGTTTATTTATTTGCGCGACAGTGATCATCGAATTGCTGGAATGGAGTAAAGTATCTCGAAATCTGGAGTTTTATAACACCTGGGTTGCATTTACACACTCCGGGTAACTAGGTTCAGTTCAGTTCGCTTTGTACAACCATTAATCGTGCACTTTCGTACGCCGGTTTGGGTTGCTTTGGTTGTCTTTTAGCTGCCCATTTGGATGAACAGCAGGAGAAAGACAGGGAGGTTGGAAGTAGAATCAAAGAGAAAATTTAAAATTTCAGTGAACTTATGTTGCAAACAAATTGATAAATGCACGAACACCACTGTTTTCAACTCCCAGTCATATCACGCAATGCCTCTAACCATTGATTACGCTGATCCTGAGGTCCTGAGCCAAGGAGCCTAACAGGACCAGTGTGACCTAGAATCCTTGTTAGGGTTTTCAGACCCTCATGCCAGATCTTAGCTTGACCACCTTTGGCTGTGTGTCACCCACAACGTGCCTCGGCGAAAATCGTTCGCCGTGGCAACCTANTGGTGACACGTCCCAACCAACGTAATCTACGGTGGTCGACCACTTGCTCCAATGAACCTAGAACTCAGCGCCTGACATCAGCATTGCTTGCTCGGCTGCCCCACCAGATTCGTGCAATGCTGCGTAGACAGCGGTGTTTAAACACCGATAGTCTATCTTTATCATGTTTTCTCAATGGTCACGTTTCTGCGCTGTATGACAGAACTGGACGAACAGTTGCAGCATACACTCAACCCTTCATAGACAGCCGAATGTTGTGACGGCGTCACATGTCTCAAGTTGGCAAATGACAATCGAGCCTTTTGTATACATGCCGACACTTCATCTGTGATGCGTCCGCCAGGTGAGATATGGCTACCCAGATAGCAAAATGTCTACTTCCTCTACTATATCCTCCGTTCGAGAGTCTGGGTGTTGAACCAACCCAGTTTCAGTTTCAGTTTGAACAACCATTAACCATGCACCTTCGTGCGCCGGTTTTGGTTGCTGTCTTTTTGCTGCCCATTGGGATGAAGAATAGGAGAA